TTTGATGAATGGCTACATTTGGTTTACTGGTGGTTCTGTACTGGAAGAGGTAATATAGCAAAAGCAATAAAATTGAGTAAGTAGAACTCTATATGCTGCTATAACCTAAAAATAATAAATGAATTATACTGAAATGCAGTATACATGCAATAACTGTCAGTCTGTTATCTATTAGTCCATTTTATTTCTATTAGGTGGTAGGAAAGAGTTCTATATTTTGTATAATTATTGATGTAAAATTCAGATGAATATGAATTGGTTTCTTCTGCTTTGTTTTCCTATCTGCATAAAATCATACACAAGTCAAAGGATCAGTTCTAGAAAATAAATATACATAGCAGTTATCTCCAAGCGCACCCTCCTCACCAAAAAAGGTCACCTTCTGGCATGACAGATTGGTTAGAAGGTCATGGTAGATATTCAAGTAGAGCTAGGGACAGTTTTGGGACAACTATATGCATATATATGTGTATATATATGTGTGTGTATGTATGTATATATATAAAACTATAAAAAATATATAAAAAATGCAGCACAATATTTCAAAGTACTTGGCCAAAAAAAGCACTGCTTTAAAGTGCTATTCCGTTCCAGTTTGTCAAAGCTTAGCAAACATGAACTTATGCTGGTCATACAGTCAACCTACTGATAACCAGTCTGACTGTGCTACTACTTTCATATCTGAAAAGCAAAGGGATGTTCTATAATCCTATTTTCTCTGGGAGGTAGAAGAACTAGTAGGAGCAAAAAAGACCAGGGAAACATGAGGATGAATACAGATGTGGAATGGCTTCCATATACGAGGAAACTTAAGTGACTTGGACTCTTCTAGATTTAAAGGCTAAGGGAGAGAGAAGACTGAAGCCTGTAAAATCACAACGTCATACAAAAGGTAAACAGGAAATGATTATTCACCATTTCTCAAAATACATGAATGGAAGACCACCCACTGAGAATATTAAGCAGCAAGAATAAAGTTAATGTGAAGTACTTTTATACAAAATGTATAATTAGTCTTGGAACTCAACGGCTCAAGCTGTTGTTGAAGCCAAAGTCTAAACAGATTAAAATAGATGTTAGAGAAATTCACAGAAGATCTATATATAGATGTTAAATGCAATGGTCGGAATGCAGCCTCCACTTTGGAAGCTCTACGCTGCTAATTACTGGAAGCAGTGATGGCTGAGAGAATTACTTTACATTTGCTCCTATTTCTTATACTCTTTTTCCAAGCATCCACTCCAGACCATTGTATGTGAGTCCTCGATTCATTCAAGTATGTCCATTCTTATGTTATGTGTCCCCTTAGCATCATATATTTGGTATTATGGATTTTTTTTCTCAAAAAATCAAATTATCTTCCTCGTGATTATCAGAATGCAACCCACCCATGATAAGTTATAAAATAGTTACTTTGGTGTAAACACCACAGCTACAAAAGTCATCATACATTCAAACTTCATGTATCTACTCCTGAATGGTTTATTCATTCCTGTACTTCTGTGGCTTTATTTTAAATTCTAAGATTGTCAAGAAAATGTTATTTTAAAGGCGACACTAATACTATGTAGTGCCATATACTATAAGTTTGGAGAAACAAGTCTTTGCCTTGGCCTTGTGTATCATTTGACCATGATCTATTAAAGGATAATAAAAGCAGAAAATAATAGAAAGGTGACAGACTGGATAAGCTACTGCAGAATGACTGACATCACTTAAGCATAGATGCTTAATACGCACCACTTGTACTGAAATTATTTGCATGTTGAATGATCAGCATTTTCAAAAATTGGGCCAAAGACAACACAAAAAAAATAGAAGAGAAGTCTTGGTATTTACACATAACTATATGGTGAAATCTAGTTCTAAACAACAAGGGAAAAATGAAGTTTAAAAAAATTATAGCTGTTGTTTTAACCGGTTCACAGTTTGACATCTTATTTTGTACTGTTGATTGTTATTTTTGTCTATTACGATAATTCACTTTCTCCTACTTAGAACACACATCCTAATATTAATAAAAACGAACAGAGAAAAAGAATACTTTGCACTTATACATGCAACATCCATTTCTGCATCTTAACATACTTTACAGAAAGCAATTAATCCTTACAACACCCAAGTGAGGTTAGAGATGATAAGAAAACTGCAATGCAGAGAAATTAAGCAACTTGCTCATCATCAGAAAAGCACATAACTTTGGCTTGCAAGTCTTGCGCTCTAGCCACTAGACTTAAGTTCTCTACTTAGCTTGTATTAAATCTATATTTGGTATCAGTTATTACTTTAAATGGTATCTATCACATACATCAAACAGACTTTTTTAAACCTATGTAGAGATGTTGTTTCTGAGCAGTCTAATATCAGTATCTCTTGAGAACAGAAACATAGGCTATCAAATGATTTATTTAAATGTTATTTTGGAACATACTGAAAATGCTTTTATTACTTCATTATTTTGCAATTGTAACAAGAAATATAAAGTGTTAAGAGGTGTCTCGTCCTTAGAGTAGCTAGTCGATGCAGTTAGTTTTCAGTGTCAAAAAGATGTTATTACACTGACTCTAAAATCCTGCAGGTCGAGACTACTTTTTTCATTTTGCTCAAGTCTGGTTATCTGCAGCCAGGGAGAGGGGAAAGGACCGTGCTTCTGGACCTCTTATCCACCACCCACTGAGAAAAAAGTTAATATCTAGGAAATCCTTATGTGGCTGTTTGTTGAACAGGATGGGTAATTTTTATTTTGCTTTTCTAATGAGTGTGAGTTTCTCACAAATATAACATTTCAGCCACTGCTGAAATCGCATTGCCACTTTCAGTACAAGATTTGTGGGTGATAATTTGAAAAAAATGTCCGGACTTTGGTATATTTGTTTATGACCGTTACTCTGTTATGCTGTAAGGACTCTTCAGAGAGAACGGTGGAAGCTTCCTTCAAATTTTGCCTGACACAACCACCTTTTCTTTATTGAAGAATTGTGAAGTTCATGGACATCTGCTTCAGGGTAAATGTTTCTACAATGATTAATTTTTTTTTTTTAGGAAATACAACATCTTGAAATGTAACAGAAACTATCTGTGGGGTTCCTTTCAGAGCTGGTAACAAGGGACGGGTTGGGAAGGTAAGAGCCGATCTACGACGCTACCATTTTGGAATAACGGGAGCATAAGCGGTTTCCCCACGTTTTCGGAAGTTAACGAAGGTATTAAAGTGAGACAGTCACCGTTAACAGCTTGGCAGAAGGGCAGCGCGGCTGTGTTAGCTCAAGGCTTCAGTTCGCATTATGCACAGCCAGCCAACAGCTGTTGAAAGTCTTATAACTGACCAAGAGCTCATGTGGGTTAACAGGTAGGCCTAAGCCCTTAGGCAGTGAACATTTGCACAACTTTATGGGCTTCTGTGGGTCTATCCCTGTTTACGTTACCTTGACTGAGGCAAAATATTACACTCTTAGGTTAATGTAATGGAGGGGCTCCTGCCTACTGTTGCATCTTTTCTCCTGTCTCTGCGCTTCGCTCTGCTCACGACTGTGCGTTCGGGCGGGCACGAGGGCGCCGGGGGGACGCCGCCGTCACCAGCAGGCCGGGAGGCCCCGGCCAGGCACCGCTGCGGGCTCCCAGCAGCTTTTTCCTTTCCATCAACTCATAAATAATCATTCTGAAAACACGTTTTAGCTGGATTCACAGCCTGCTTGTCACTACTATTAACAAACAGCACTTTTTTTGCCTGCCTGGCGGCTAATAAATTATTCACGAATTGTATTTTCTTTTTCCCCCTTGGCGAGTTTAATCGCCTTGTTACCCCGCGGGCTGCACACACAGCGCGCCGCCTCCCTCACGCGCCCTTCGCCGCGTTCAAACGGCCTTTTCTGGGCTGGGGG